GGTGGGGGTTAGGTAGGGGGTTGGGGGGTAGGTTAAGGGGCAGTTAATGGGATTGTGGGCTGTTACTACATAAAGAGGTTGTTGGTTGTGTGTGGTGTTCTGGGCTGGTTATCGAGACCTCAGATTAGAACATCATAATTTTATTGATTTTTATCACACAAGGTGCGAGAGGTGTCTTCGGTGATCACATGTTGATCTCGACTAGATTGCCTGGGTACGCAACGTCTTACCATGATCGTCAAGTGTGCAGTATTGATTGGCAGTAGTGTAGGGGAGTCTTATAAGGTTGGGGGAAGACCAGCTTACTGAAGTCTTATAACAGTGAGACAATGTTATAGGGTGGAGCGGGGAGACTAGCTCATTTGAGTGAATCTTTGTATCAGAGCTGAGCAGGAGATTAGCTCATTTGAGTGAATGTTTGTCTCAGAGTGGAGTAGGAGACTAGTTCGTTTGAGTGAATCTTTGCAATTGTTTCAGGGTTGACGTGAGACTATAGCTAGCTCCTGTGAGTGAATCCCTGTCTTAGCTAGGGTGGCTCATTTGAGGAAATCCAAGTTTCAGGTATGATGTGATCATGAGATACAGGCCTAGGCCAGTTGGGTCTATTGAATGAATCTACCCAACAGATACCTGGGGCTAGTAAATTCTACATCAGCACTTGTAAAAAGTTTCAATATTTCAAATGTATATATATATATATTGGGCTAGTATTCGTTTTTTTCAAAATTCAGCTAGAACTCTATAAATAGGAAATTGTACTTCCCTGAAAACCCTGTCTAAGGGTGGAACGAGAGACAAGGTTATATTGAACTAGGGAAGAGAACGTGATCACCAGTATTGATCAATGTCCAGGCTGTGTGAATTTAGAGAAGAAAGGGGCCAGCAAATCTCCCTAGTTCATTACCGGCCCTAATCACTATCCCTGGATCTAGTTAGGAAGTGAAATGAAGGGTGTGATCTGGGATATTGGGGCCAGGAGTGTTTGGGGGCTGTACAGGGGTCCACCAAGTTTCCTCATTACAGCTACCAGGAAAATAGGGTTTATCACGACAACAGGGGGTCCTCCTCATCAGCATCACTTAGTAATACAACATTGGACACCTACATCAAAGCCAACAGATTATTGTTGTTGAAAATTAATTAATATGCTACAGATACCGAGTTGAAATGAAAGGAATTGTACACACCACATAGGAGTACCTACAGCTCATCACAGCCCTGCACAGCCTGTACGGTGTCATAACAGGGTGATAGCGGGGTGACCCGGTGGGTTTGTGTTGGTCCCAGGGTGTCAATTCCTATTCTGTCACTGGGCTGGGCTAGGCCAGATTGGCAATGGCAGATCAAAGGACGAAATTATACCATTGTTGTCAAATTAATTACGGCCATGTGTCCATCATGGGGCTCAAAATATTACAAAACGGATTTTAATCAGTTGCGGATGAGTTGGTGTAAATTGGTAGCGGTTTGACTTCTGTTTACCACGGTTTGTTTTTGTTTACACAATATCATTTGTGCTATCGATCCTGAAAAACCTTTATAGATATTAAATTGTCCAATTGAAAATCTATAAGAACACATAGAAAGAACAAAATTGGGAATAAAGTGTCTTTGCATTAATATCAAAAGCATACAAAATATAATTGTCAAAAGCATATGAAATATGATCGGCATCATGGCGGGAGGGAGGGCTTGTGAGGTTTGGAGAAAATACAGAGCGTCATTTTCACAAATTCTCCTTTTTTTATTATTAAATTATTTACTTGAACAAAGAAAAGCCTGATGTTGATATGCTAGCTCTGCAAATTCAATAACAGGCTTGCATGTATGGGGACAAATTCAATAAGGGCTCCATGGTTGTTCATGGTGTACTGAAACAGATGATGACTTTGGCAGGCAGGGTACAGGGGGTGGGGAGGTGGGGGGGTCGGTCT